ATGTTTGTTTTCTGCCCGGATCCTGACTGTAGTGAGCCGAAATCTCTTGGGGATTCATTGCTGGCATCTACACACCTTGTGTGAACATTTGACTTAGTTTCGTGAAGTTGGATTTTTTGGCCCAAAATCAGTATTTTTGATGACCGCGGATATGGAAAACTTTGCAGATTTGGACCATTTTTGCTCAAAAACTGAAATGTTTGTTTTCTGCCCGAATCCTGACTGTAGTGAGCCGAAATCTCTTGGGGATTCATTGCTGGCATCTACACACCTTGTGTGAACATTTGACTTAGTTTCGTGAAGTTGGATTTTTTAGCCCAAAATCAGTATTTTTGATGACCGCGGATATGGAAAACTTTGCAGATTTGGACCATTTTTGCTCAAAAACTGAAATGTTTGTTTTCTGCCCGGATCCTGACTGTAGTGAGCCGAAATCTCTTGGGGATTCATTGCTGGCATCTACACACCTTGTGTGAACATTTGACTTAGTTTCGTGAAGTTGGATTTGTTGGCCCAAAATCAGTATTTTTGATGACCGCGGATATGGAAAACTTTGCAGATTTGGACCATTTTTGCTCAAAAACTGAAATGTTTGTTTTCTGCCCGAATCCTGACTGTAGTGAGCCGAAATCTCTTGGGGATTCATTGCTGGCATCTACACACCTTGTGTGAACATTTGACTTAGTTTCGTGAAGTTGGATTTTTTAGCCCAAAATCAGTATTTTTGATGACCGCGGATATGGAAAACTTTGCAGATTTGGACCATTTTTGCTCAAAAACTGAAATGTTTGTTTTCTGCCCGATCCTGACTGTAGTGAGCCGAAATCTCTTGGGGATTCATTGCTGGCATCTACACACCTTGTGTGAACATTTGACTTAGTTTCGTGAAGTTGGATTTGTTGGCCCAAAATCAGTATTTTTGATGACCGCGGATATGGAAAACTTTGCAGATTTGGACCATTTTTGCTCAAAAACTGAAATGTTTGTTTTTCTGCCCGAATCCTGACTGTAGTGAGCCGAAATCTCTTGGGGATTCATTGCTGGCATCTACACACCTTGTGTGAACATTTGACTTAGTTTCGTGAAGTTGGATTTTTTAGCCCAAAATCAGTATTTTTGATGACCGCGGATATGGAAAACTTTGCAGATTTGGACCATTTTTGCTCAAAAACTGAAATGTTTGTTTTCTGCCCGGATCCTGACTGTAGTGAGCCGAAATCTCTTGGGGATTCATTGCTGGCATCTACACACCTTGTGTGAACATTTGACTTAGTTTCGTGAAGTTGGATTTTTTTAGCCCAAAATCAGTATTTTTGATGACCGCGGATATGGAAAACTTTGCAGATTTGGACCATTTTTGCTCAAAAACTAAATGTTTGTTTTCTGCCCGGATCCTGACTGTAGTGAGCCGAAATCTCTTGGGGATTCATTGCTGGCATCTACACACCTTGTGTGAACATTTGACTTAGTTTCGTGAAGTTGGATTTGTTGGCCCAAAATCAGTATTTTTGATGACCGCGGATATGGAAAACTTTGCAGATTTGGACCATTTTTGCTCAAAAACTGAAATGTTTGTTTTCTGCCCGAATCCTGACTGTAGTGAGCCGAAATCTCTTGGGGATTCATTGCTGGCATCTACACACCTTGTGTGAACATTTGACTTAGTTTCGTGAAGTTGGATTTTTTAGCCCAAAATCAGTATTTTTGATGACCGCGGATATGGAAAACTTTGCAGATTTGGACCATTTTTGCTCAAAAACTAAAATGTTTGTTTTCTGCCCGGATCCTGACTGTAGTGAGCCGAAATCTCTTGGGGATTCATTGCTGGCATCTACACACCTTGTGTGAACATTTGACTTAGTTTCGTGAAGTTGGATTTTTTAGCCCAAAATCAGTATTTTTGATGACCGCGGATATGGAAAACTTTGCAGATTTGGACCATTTTTGCTCAAAACTAAAATGTTTGTTTTCTGCCCGGATCCTGACTGTAGTGAGCCGAAATCTCTTGGGGATTCATTGCTGGCATCTACACACCTTGTGTGAACATTTGACTTAGTTTCGTGAAGTTGGATTTGTTGCCCAAAATCAGTATTTTTGATGACCGCGGATATGGAAAACTTTGCAGATTTGGACCATTTTTGCTCAAAAACTGAAATGTTTGTTTTCTGCCCGAATCCTGACTGTAGTGAGCCGAAATCTCTTGGGGATTCATTGCTGGCATCTACACACCTTGTGTGAACATTTGACTTAGTTTCGTGAAGTTGGATTTTTTTAGCCCAAAATCAGTATTTTTGATGACCGCGGATATGGAAAACTTTGCAGATTTGGACCATTTTTGCTCAAAAACTAAAATGTTTGTTTTCTGCCCGATCCTGACTGTAGTGAGCCGAAATCTCTTGGGGATTCATTGCTGGCATCTACACACCTTGTGTGAACATTTGACTTAGTTTCGTGAAGTTGGATTTTTGCCCAAAATCAGTATTTTTGATGACCGCGGATATGGAAAACTTTGCAGATTTGGACCATTTTTGCTCAAAAACTGAAATGTTTGTTTTCTGCCCGATCCTGACTGTAGTGAGCCGAAATCTCTTGGGGATTCATTGCTGGCATCTACACACCTTGTGTGAACATTTGACTTAGTTTCGTGAAGTTGGATTTTTTGGCCCAAAATCAGTATTTTTGATGACCGCGGATATGGAAAACTTTGCAGATTTGGACCATTTTTGCTCAAAAACTGAAATGTTTGTTTTCTGCCCGAATCCTGACTGTAGTGAGCCGAAATCTCTTGGGGATTCATTGCTGGCATCTACACACCTTGTGTGAACATTTGACTTAGTTTCGTGAAGTTGGATTTTTGGCCCAAAATCAGTATTTTTGATGACCGCGGATATGGAAAACTTTGCAGATTTGGACCATTTTTGCTCAAAAACTGAAATGTTTGTTTTCTGCCCGAATCCTGACTGTAGTGAGCCGAAATCTCTTGGGGATTCATTGCTGGCATCTACACACCTTGTGTGAACATTTGACTTAGTTTCGTGAAGTTGGATTTTGTTGGCCCAAAATCAGTATTTTTGATGACCGCGGATATGGAAAACTTTGCAGATTTGGACCATTTTTGCTCAAAAACTGAAATGTTTGTTTTCTGCCCGAATCCTGACTGTAGTGAGCCGAAATCTCTTGGGGATTCATTGCTGGCATCTACACACCTTGTGTGAACATTTGACTTAGTTTCGTGAAGTTGGATTTTTTGGCCCAAAATCAGTATTTTTGATGACCGCGGATATGGAAAACTTTGCAGATTTGGACCATTTTTGCTCAAAAACTAAAATGTTTGTTTTCTGCCCGGATCCTGACTGTAGTGAGCCGAAATCTCTTGGGGATTCATTGCTGGCATCTACACACCTTGTGTGAACATTTGACTTAGTTTCGTGAAGTTGGATTTTTGGCCCAAAATCAGTATTTTTGATGACCGCGGATATGGAAAACTTTGCAGATTTGGACCATTTTTGCTCAAAACTGAAATGTTTGTTTTCTGCCCGAATCCTGACTGTAGTGAGCCGAAATCTCTTGGGGATTCATTGCTGGCATCTACACACCTTGTGTGAACATTTGACTTAGTTTCGTGAAGTTGGATTTTTTAGCCCAAAATCAGTATTTTTGATGACCGCGGATATGGAAAACTTTGCAGATTTGGACCATTTTTGCTCAAAAACTAAATGTTTGTTTTCTGCCCGGATCCTGACTGTAGTGAGCC